GTTATTCAGCTGTAGAAAGGAAGGGAATTCTGACATGTGCTATGTCACAAAGAGACAATTATTGTAGGAGTTCACTTACGGGGGTGCCCAGAATAGTTAACTTGATAGAGACAAAGAATGGTGGCAGTTAGGGATTTGATGGAGGGTCATGGACAGTTATAGTTTAATGGGTACAGAGTTTCCGTTTGGGATGATGATGAAAAACTTCTGTGGGTGAAAGTTGGTGATAGTTGCACAACAATGCAAATGTGCTTAATGCCACTGAACTCTACACTTACAAACAGGTTAATATGGTAAATTTTATGTTATACATATTTTGCCACCATTTATAAAAAAGAACTAATTCTAAGGTTCCTACTGACTGAAGCTAAAATGACACATGTAACATAAAAAGGTGACTGAGCAAGAGGTGTGATGTGGCACGGCGGGGTGAGCCTGGCTTTCATGCCCAGACCAGCAGTGCGACCTGGGCAATTGTCCGATTACCTGGGAAAGTGGGTATGACAGTCTCTGCCCTCCCTCTGCCCAGTGCTGCTGAATGGCCCAGGAGAGTGGTGTGGAGAATGCTCTTTGTGAAGTGTCGCACAGAATTGATGGGGTGGCTGCACTATGAGGCTTTGCCTCGGGGGTCAGAACTTTCCAGCTATTCAAGGCAGGACTTTGGGGGGCCTTTCTGGCACTGCTCATTTCAGGCTGTGCCTGACCCATGGCTTATTGGAGTCTTACAGGGCTCCTGTGGGCAGCTGCAAGGGTGGTTTCTGTGGGGTATTTGGACTTCTGCCTGGATGTATACCCAGACTTTGCAGCTTTTCACGACCAGATGCCAGGAGAGAACTAAGCCATCTTGTTCTGTTTATCTGCTGTATGTGATGACTTAACATCTCACCTGTGCATTTAGGATGGTACGAGGTGAAGTGACAGCACATAGTTTTCTGTGCTCTGTGGTTCCCTAAAGAATCCCAGCTGAGAAAGGGACCTGGTGAACCTAGAAGCTCCACTACCACCTCAAACCCAGCCCAAGGTTTGGGCACACAGGGAACTGAAGGACCAAGGAGACAGGGACTGGTTCCAGGTTGCACAGGGTCTCAAAAACAGGCCCCCAAGTGCCAAGCCAGTACTGTGTGGTAGGTGGCATGACTATCCCGTTCCTTCTTCCTTTTGAAAATGAGCAGTTGTAGGACACTGGTTTTTATATCTCTGACTGTAAAAGTGCACCTCTGGGACTGTTTCTCAGACTTTCGAGTGCAGGACAGTGGGCTTGGGAGGTCGAGCAGCGCCTTCCTTTCCTGAGAGCGGAGGCCAAGGCTCTGGCTGGCTCTGGTAAGTGCTTTGCAGCCTTGGCATGGCTGGAGGAGGGGCAGCAGCTAAGTGGTTTCTGAAAAAGGGCAAAAATGATGGGAAAAGCTTTGGGATCCTCTGGGAATCAGAGCCGCAGCAATAGCAGCTGCTGTCATTGCTGGAAACGTTTTCCTTGAGTGCCAGAGTGCGCCCACAGTACACTCCTGCTGATGCGGAGTAGCCACGGCCTGGGAGGGGCCAAGGACCCTCACGGAGGCAGGGAGGCCGCTCTTCTCCCAAATCAGCCGGACTCTCCCTTCCAGTAGCCACCGCTTTTGAGCTCACCAGCACCTGCTGGGTCTGGGGTGTGCTCACATCTAGCTGGTGAGTCCTTTTGTTGTTTGGTGCAGACTTTTAGGTTTTAGGATGGCATTAGTGAGTGGTCAAAAGCTGGGTCCTGCCACTCTCCAGCCTGGTGACTGTGGACGGATCAACTGGCCTCTCTGCGCCTCAGTTACCCCATCCGAAAACGGGATAATAACAGTGGCTGGCTGCCTCAAAGGTCATCGTGAGGCTGAAGCAAGTTGTCGTATACTTAGCCTGACTTGTCGTAAGCACTTGGGAGGTGAGAGTGGTGGTTGTTATTATCAATGTTTATTATATTTACTCCTGTACCAGAGTCATGCTGGGGTGAAGAGGTTGCAACTGCTGCTGAGGCTGATGGTTTGCGGCTGGAGGTTTTCAGAGGTTTGCCCTCTCCGTGGAGTGGAGGAGTGTGGGACTGAGTGAGAGCCCTGGGTTCTCGTCCCGGCTCTACTCTTTCTTTTTTCTTCATCCTTGGGCTGGGAGGTTCCCAGGTCTTTGTTCCTCTTTAGGGAATGCTCAGGTAGGACAAGGGGATGAGAATGATCTGGGCTGGGTCCTGGGCCACTTTCTCCCAACCTCTCAGAGAGTCACCAGCCATGAGAGGGAGGTGGAGAGGGTTATGGGAGAGCCACACCCCAGGAGTCTTACCTAGACTGGGGAGAAAAGAAGGAAGCCTTCTCCCAGAAGGTGGGCAGTTGTCCTTTGTGGCTCTGAAGTTCAGAAAGACCCAGAGGTCAAACCAGGCCTTTGTGGGTAGGGTTGATTTTTCAGGATCATCCTTTAGTTCACATTGAGGAGTCTGTGTGAATCTTGTATAAACCGGAACCACCACCTCCAACAAACACCCAATACTTGTCTGCCTAAATCACGGTAGGAAATTCCCCCATCACTGTAGAATGTTCTGTGGTGACAAGTGCATCACCATGGGCTCAGGTGCAGTGCACACATCCCAGGCTTGGCAGTGGCAGACTGTCCTGTCTCGGTTCTTCCTCCCAGCCCAGAGCAAGTGGCTCCTCAATTCCGGTCTAACTCTGTATTGGAGAAGCTTGATTTCTAGTAGGGTATAGGGTGCAGAGTGTGCAGTGTAGATTCGGGGTTTTTTGACTTACTGAATGATAGTACCATGGGCACTGCTTCCTGTTTACTGGGTTTGGTTTGATTGGGACCAGTCAGAGGAAGAGGCAAGACTGTTAATAAAGAGCATTGCTGAAAGGTTCACCGCTTCTACTAATAAGTGCTCTCTTGTTGCGCTGTTAAGAACTGCTTGTCAGGGATTAGTTTATTCTTGGAGACCATAGACATCCCTGGGAAAGCCAGGCATGGGATATGTGCTTGGTCTTATTCATACTTTGCTTTGGTGTTTTGAGTTTCCTGGGATGCTTATTTGAGCAGGAGCGTACTTGAGGTTTGTGGTTTATTCCTGGCCCCAGGGTGGAAGTGCCTAGTTGGATCGGCCCCCAGACCCTGGTATAGGGTCCGGGGCAGAAAAAGCCCCAAAACTTCAGGGCAGTGGTAGAGTCCTGGAGATGCTTTGGAGCCAGGCCACTTGGGATCAAACCCAGGTTCTAGCTCTTACTGTGTGACCTTGAGCAAGTATCAACCTCTCTGTGACTCCATTTCCTCATCTGTGAATTATCTACCTCTTAGGGACGTTGTGAGAATTACGTGAATGAAGGCATGTAAAGTGCTTAGAACTGTGTTTGCTTTGTGCATAGCACATGCTCAGACACGTCAAATATTTTCCTTCTCATTAGCCTCCTCTGCTATTTAAATGCTGTCAGACTCTTCATAATATGAACAATCCTTGACAGGAAGTTGTCTTCTGAAAGCACAGACCAGTACCCCATTCCCATGCTTCTGAAGCTACTCATAGCTTTTTGTTCCTTGGAATTCAAGGCTGACAACCACCTGGTTCTAATCCTGCCGCATGTTTTCCTCTCCTGCTGATTTCCTCTTCGTCAGCAGATCCTGGGATTCCCTACCTTTTCCTCCAGCCCAAGCGCAACTCTGGTCCCCTTCCAGGCCCCGTTCATCTGTCACCTCCTCCATGAAGCCTTCTTCAGCACCCCTGCTCAGAGAAACTGCAGTTTCTCTGTCCCCTATGGTACTTGGTTTCTGTCTACTATGGGATCTCTCTGTGCCCCCAGGAAGGACTGGGCACCCAGGAGGACTCAGTGATGGGTATTGAGAGATGAGATGAATGACTGAATGAGGGATTGGAAATGTGGCTTTCTGTGGCCGGGAACACTTCCTGAGGCAGTGTCTGGTTGATGAGTGAATCAGAGAAAGACTTAGGCCATCCTGAAAGCAGATCAACAGGCAGGAAGGGAAATGGGTTGGCAGTCAGCTGTCTGTCCTGTTCACAGGATGTGGAGTGGTGAGGCTCCCCCCCATCTCTCTTTTCATGGATCTGGACATCAGGTCATAGCTGATTTATTGCCATGGTTGAGCTATGTGTGCCGGAGTTTCACTGCCTGAGTTTTTACTTGAAAATGGAGGACTTGAGAAGCCTCCCACTTCCTCAGTGACTGTTTTCCAGAATCCAGCCACTTCTGGGACATTAATTTCCCTACGTCAATGGATATTAGAAGGATTTGCTCTCTCTCTCTCATTTCCCCCATGGTGACCAGCACAGCTTTTTCATAAACAGACAGATCAGACAAAGTCCCTACACAGGAGGAGGTCATAGGGTATGGGGGAGATAAAGCAATGACAGACAGAAATTGCTAGACCACATGATGGACTCTGCTAAGACGGCCAAGAAGGATGAACGGCCAAAAATCTGGGCCCTCTAGAGGTGGGAGGGAGCATGACCAATGCAGGGATTTGGGACTTCATGGAAGAGATGGCATCAATGTTGGATCCTGAGGGAAAGTAACATCTGAGAGGTGGTAGGATTTGGGCAAGGGCAGAAGGAGGAGAAGACACCCTTCAGGTGGAGACACCATGGGAGCAAAGGTCCCTGGTGTGGAGTGTGTGGGGCAGTCCTAGGTACCAGGGAGTGGGCATGTCCAGACAGACAGAGGGTACACATGGGAAATGGGGCTAGGAAGGAGGTGGAAAACAGTATCTATGCACACGTCCAGGTGTATGTGGTGACCCCAGCTGCCAGCTCATTTCTAGGTGTTTAGGCCTACAAGGCCCACCAGCCCCAAATAACTTAAAGCCTAAATGCTCAGGGCCAGAATGCTTGAAATATACTAATTTCACAAAAATGATAAATTGTGCAAAAAAAGAAAATCCCATACAAACTCACTGGATGCAGCAAAGAACAAAGATAGGCCATGCACATGGCTGATGACATGTGGACACGTGGCACAAGACGGCCCTGCAGTGCAGCATGGGTGTGTCAGTCTCTGCCAGTCACTGTGTTCTGGAGTCATGAACTGCTCAGTTTTTCAGGGCTGAGCCATCCTCATTACCGAGTTTCTTCCTGAATGCAGCCAGCATCAGCCACTCCCATTGTGTTCCTTGTTCTGATCTGGGGAGGGAAGGGGAGCAGTGGTTATCATCCTCACTCTGCAGATGAGGCAACTGAGGCCCAGAGAAGAGGAGAGATCAGTCTAACCTGAGTCCCTCAGTGCCCATTGGCTCCCAGTGAGGGGTAAGTCCCTCCTGGAGGGTGATATTAGTGACTGTGGGACAGCCCACGCACTGCTAGGCCTGCTCACCCAGGGTCCTCTGAGGTGAGAGGCACAGTCCTGAAAGCTTCAGTTCTGAGGGACTGGGGGAAGGAGCTGGTTGAACTTTTGGGTGCTCTGCTTCACAGAGCACCTTGGCAAGCAGGGTAGGCAGGGGCTGAGGATGTACCGTTCTTAAGCTGAGAATAAACCCCATCTTGGTGGCTGCCCGCAGGCTGCATACTGGGCCAGAGGATCCGGCCAGGATGAAGAAATGGGGTAGCTCAGACCTGGGGGAGTCTGAGGACCCACCCCAAAAGGACTCCAGCCCAGACCCGCTGGATGGAGACCCTAACTTCAAGCCATCTCCAGCCAAGCCCCACATCTCCACGGCCAGGAGCCGCAGCCGGCTCTTTGGGAAGGGTGACTCGGAGGAGGCTTCCTCTGTGGACTGTCCTTATGAGGAGGGTGAGCTGGCCTCCTGCCCGACCATCACAGTCAGCCCTGTGGTCATCATCCAGAGGCCTAGGGACGGCCCTACCTGTGCCAGGTGAGTCTGCATCTGGAGTTCCCCAACCTGGCCGTAGAGACGCCACAAAGTGATCTGGTGTCTGAGCTAACAGTCACAGAGCCGGGGAGCTGGGGAACCTCCAGATGTGGTCTGGCCCGGGCTCTACACTTATCAGATCTCATGGGACACACAGTCGCCAAGGCTGGTGTACATGCTGATCCCAGCTGCCAGCTGATCAAGGTGTCCAGGCTTGACATGCTCACCAGCCCCAGACACTTGGACTTTAAGTAAAATCTCAAGGTCAAGGGACTTTTAGACAGAGAGTACAGAATGGCTATATGAAATCCAAGGAAGGGTGGGGAGGGTTGTGGGCTGGCTGACCTCTGGGGAGTGTGAGGACACCTTTTCCCTTAGCAGGGACTATCCAAACCCCTGTGCCCAACTCCTGAGCCCCAGCTCTGGAGCAGGCAGAGAAGCAAATGGTCTGGGTGTAGGAGGTTGCGGTGGCAAAGACTTTCTAGATGGGGGTCTGCAGACATAGTGGGGACAGAACAGGGACAGGTGTGCCCCATTGTCCATGTTATTTGTTTCCTAGATGGTCATCTAGACTGAAGGGTGGCTTTTGTATCATGCTTTTCCACCTTTTGGTTTGCTTTGGGGTTTAGTTGTGCTCCCTTGACAAGCTCCCAATGCTTTAGGGCTAAAGGGTGATCAGGGTATGAGATGAGGCTATTTTCTGACCTTCAGGCAGCTGTCCCAGGACTCTGTCACTGCTGGCACTGAGAAGACCCTCAAGCTCTACGATCGCAGGAGGATCTTTGAAGCTGTTGCTCAGAGTAACTGCCAGGAACTAGAGAGCCTGCTGCTTTTCCTGCAGAAGAGCAAGAAGCACCTCACTGACAACGAGTTCAAAGGTGGCTCCCGAGGACCAGGTTCCTGGGAGGGCCCCTGCCCCCACCCACTCTGACCCTCCCTTTGTCTTTCAGACCCTGAGACAGGGAAGACATGTCTGCTGAAAGCCATGCTCAACCTGCATGACGGGCAGAATGACACCATTCCCCTGCTCCTGGAGATTGCCCGGCAGACGGACAGCCTGAAGGATTTTGTTAACGCCAGCTACACGGACAACTACTACAAGGGTGAGTCGGGCGGTGGGGTTGGGCACAGCTCAGTCTGCAGCACACCTGGAACCAGGAGGGCATGATCGTGTCTGGGGCCTCCTTACTCCTCTGAGCTTCTTCTACATGTCCTAGCCACTATGTCGGTTTCTCCCAGACTTGGGAAGTCTCTAGCATGGTTTCTCCTGGTTCTGATGGTCCCTGCCTTCCTCATCTGCTGTCTCTCCTCTTGGGCCTGGGAGGTCTCTGCCTCCCCCGTGCTGACTGGTGATCCCTACTTCTGGAAGTTACACCCTCTGGCCTCACTCTGCTGCTGCTCCCTACCCCTGGGAAGTTGTGACTCCTCTGGTTTCCAACCTGATATCTCATCTCTACTCCTGCATCAGAATCTCCTTTGGAGGATCGTGGCCTTACCTCCTGCAGAGGGGGATCACCCAGGTGCTTTCTGCTCAGTTCTTCCTGCAGCAGCTGCTGCCTGGGCACGGCCTTCCTTGGCACCTGTCTGGACAACCCTGCAGGACTGTGATCACAAAGCCAACAGTATGCATCCTCTGTAGGTCAGACGGCACTGCACATTGCCATCGAGAGGCGGAACATGGCGCTGGTGACCCTCTTGGTGGAGAATGGAGCAGACGTTCAGGCTGCAGCCAATGGGGACTTCTTTAAGAAAACCAAAGGGCGGCCTGGCTTCTACTTCGGTAGGGAGACCATGCAGCAGACACTTGGCTTTTTGGGTTTTCTAAGGGGAGGTTTGGGGCAGAGATGAAGTTGGAGGCTGGGATCGGGGAGCAGCCAGATCTCACCCCCAAGGCCTTGTATTGGCTGTAGGAGAGCTGCCCCTCTCCTTGGCTGCGTGTACCAACCAGCTGGCCATCGTGAAGTTCCTGCTGCAGAACTCCTGGCAGCCAGCCGACATCAGCGCCAGGGACTCGGTGGGCAACACCGTGCTGCATGCCTTGGTGGAGGTGGCCGACAACACGGCCGACAACACCAAGTTTGTGACGAGCATGTACAATGAGATTCTGATCCTGGGGGCCAAACTCCACCCTACGCTGAAGCTGGAGGAGCTCACCAACAAGAAGGGGATGACGCCGCTGGCCCTGGCTGCCGGGAGCGGGAAGATCGGGGTAGGAGGGGGCTTCAGAGGGGCTAGGGGTGCAATGTGGCAATGTCGTTGGGAGAGAGGAATGCCTGACTCATTGCAGGTGCCTGGTGTCACCTTCCCTGTGCGTGTGGGTTTCTGATTCTGTCACACCAGCCTGTAGGGCTATTAGAATAAGTCTGAGAAATTGGGAGTAGCTGGGCAGAAACTAGCATGGCTGACATGGCCATTTTGGATTTCCATCTCTGAGTGTCGGCAAGACATGGGTTGGGGTGGGATGCTGGGGCCCGGGGGGGGGGGGGTGGGAGATACTAGGGTGAAAAAGGAATGGTCCTAAGAGGAAAATTTGGGGTAGAGTAGGCCCAAGTCAAATCAGGGGCCTTTGGATGAGGTCAAGCCATAGAAGGCCAATGGTGGAGCTGGGCTGCTGGGAATTGGGGACAAAGGGACTTTTCTGTCCTAGGGGATTTTGGAAGCTTGCCTCAGATGAGCCTCTTAGGATGAAGAACCTGACTTTATGACCTTAGTTTCATTTATGGAAGTAAAAAAAATATATATTTATTTATTTTTAGAAATAGGGTTTCACTGTGTCACCCAGGCTGGATTGCGGTGGTGTGATCAGACTCACCACAGCCTTGAATTCCTGGGCTCAAGCAGTCCTCCTGCCTCAGCTTCCTGAGAAGCTGGGACTACAGGCACATGCCACCATGCCTGGCTCTCATTTCTTGGGTTTTCTTTGTTTATTCCCTTCTGGCTTGAGTTTGTCTAGAATGAACCACTTCTGTCCTTCACTGTGAGATGTTAGAGTCAGGAGTCCTGGTGTTATTGGCGATGGGTCTGAGGCAGCAGCAGGTTGACCCTGATGGTGGTCAGGAGAGGACAGGGTCTTGCCTGAGATTTGGGCAGAGTCTCCAACTGAGCAGAGTTATTCTCTGAGCAGAGCTGGTGTTCTGTAAAGGGGATGCTACCTGTGGCTGGGCCCTGGGCTGGCCTCTAACTGTCTCTTGTTCTCTGGTGGCAGGTCTTGGCCTATATTCTGCAGAGGGAGATCCAGGAGCCTGAGTGTAGGCACCTGTCCAGGAAGTTCACTGAGTGGGCCTACGGGCCCGTGCACTCCTCGCTCTATGACCTGTCCTGCATCGACACTTGTGAGAAAAACTCGGTCCTGGAGGTGATTGCCTACAGCAGCAGCGAGACCCCTGTGAGTGGCCAGGGCGGGGACACAGTCAGGGAGGGCTTCAGGACCACTGCCCCCTAGACCCACCCCCAGCCCCTAGTCAGGTTCTGTCTGGCCTCTCATCAGTGAAAACCAACTGCCGGGGCCCAGCCCAGGTCCTGCAGCTTCCTCCTCCCATTCATACCCACTGAATGCTTTCCTTAATCTTACCAACAATATATGATGATCTTCCCATAAAATTAAGACATTTTAGACAGAGGTACATAGACAAAGAGGACCTTCATTTTATGCCATGTAAAAGCATGCAGTTTCATTTTATTTACATAAATGGGATCATAATACACAAAGTGTACAGCAATTATTTTTTTCACTTGGTGGCATGTCTTATAGATAGTTTTATATAAGTACATGTGGGATTACCTCCTAAAAAACTCCTGCATAGTATTTCAGAGTAGAGATGGGGAATAAATGTCCATAGAAGGTCATTTGAGTTATTTCTAGTTTTTTTTCCTACTACATTGCTGCAGGCCACTGGCATGGCTTTGGGAATTTTTCAAATCATTTTTTGATGAATTGGAATTGCTAAATCAAAAAGAGCATTTTAATAGCTACTGAATCAATGCATGTGGGTACATAGCTAACCATATCCTTGCCAACCTGGATATTATCCATTTTTTTTTTGAGAAATAAGGTTTCATTTCTTTCAAAGATTATACTTTTTTTTTTTCAAAGATTATACTTTAAGTCCCCTTTCATTACTTTTGGAACATTAAACAGCCTCATTAGTGGATGCAAAATGTAAATGAGTAATCCAAGGGCAAAAAAAGTATATATGCAAATGTAGCACTCCAGTAGTGTCAGAAGTGTGTTGTTTTTTATTGTCATTAAATCTTTTTTAACCATTAATTTACTTAATGAGCCCCCTCCATTTATCAATTGTAAAAAAAAACCAAAAAACTAGTTTAAATCAATGGAGCCAAAACTGCGATCTCATTGATGTCTCAGCTCTCATTTTCCTGATTCCTGTGAAGCTGAACATTTACTCACGTTTGCTGACTTTTCACATTTCTTTGGTGGCTTTCCTATTCATTATCTTTTGCCACTTCTGGGACTTTTTGTCTTATCCTTTTTGGTTTGTAGATGTTCTTGTTACAGAACGTTACAGAATGAATTGATCCTTTCTCGATTGCATAGTTGCAAATATTTCATTTCCTCCCAGTCTGTCTCTTGCCTTTTAACTTCATTTGTGACATCATTTACTTGTTAAAAGGTTTTCCTTTCAATAGGGCCAAATTGGTTAGCCTTTTTCTTATTTTATTTTATTTTGTTTGGAGTTGGAATCTCACTCTGTCACTCAGGCTGGGGTGCAGTGGCATGCTCACAGCTACCGCAGCCTCGACCTGCTGGGCTCAGGTGATCCTTCTGCCTCAGTCTTCCAAGTAGCTGGAATTACTGCATGCACCACCACGCCTGGCTAATTTTTTGATTTGTTGTAGAGATGAGGTCTCGCCAAGTTGCCCAGGCTGGTCTCAAACCCCTGGACTCAGGCAATCCTTTCACCTTGGCCTCCCAAAGTGCTGGGATTATAGGTGTGAGCCACTGTACCCGGCCTAGCCTTTTTCTTTTATGGCTTCTGTGACTTGTGTACTGCTTTAGGAGGGTGTTTTCCACTTCAAGATTACATACATATCCTTCTGCATTTATTTTAGCTCCCTTATAGGTATTTTATGTTTGACACTTTAATTTATCTAGAATTTATTTTTGTGTAGGTGTGAAGTAGGCATCTTACTTATTTTGGTTACAAATGAAGGTCTCGATGTCACTTACTGAACAGTCCAACCTGCCATTCCTGCTTTGAAAAGTCACCTTACCTGTCCCCTTTTTCTAAGATGATGCTCTGAGCTCCTAAGGCAGACTTGGGGGCTGGAGTCTGTGCCATGTGTAGTGAGAGGCTGCTATGATGTCTCACAGGTCAGAGGCTGCATTTATAGGACCAGAGTCCAGGGTAGGGAGGGGCCCAGACTGCTCTACCCTGTTAGCTCCATCTGAGCTTCCATACTAAACTTGGGCTTCTGACTCAGAGTTCCGGATGCAAGCTTTCCTGGAGCGGTGGTCTGGATGGGAGATGGCCTTCAAAAGGACTGTAGTGTTTGACTTGGAGAAGCTCCAGGGCCACCACTGATGTCTTTATGTCTCTGAAGGCTCTCAGGGGCCAGGAGTGGTGTGGATTTGTCCTGGGGCTCCTGGGGCAGAACTGAGAGCACCAGTGGAAAGCAGAGATGACTAACTTTGCTTAAAGAATGATATTCCCTACAGTAAGTGCATCTCCATAGGCTTCTTGAGGCAGTAAGGAGCTCCCCATCTCCAAAGTTATTTAAGAAGAGACTGATCAGGTATCTTGTTGAGGGGGCTCAAGTTTGGGCTGGGGGTTAGACTCAATGGCCCGAGAGATGCTGGGTGACATGATTTTGCTTAGTCCATCCTAGGAATACTTGAACTTTGACGGTCTCTGGATATGAGACTTGCCCCAAAACATACTTGTAATGACTGAATTCAGGCACTGGGCCCACCCACTGCAGGAAAGGCCTCCTAGTTCCCTTCGTAGCTCTTGCATAGGAAATGGCCACCCCTGCCTGACCCAGGGCTGAAGATGTGAGAAATGAAGACCCAGATGCTTTTTCCTGCCTGCCCTCAGCCCCTCCTTAGCAGCCTCGTACCAGGCTTTGCCTGAGCCAGCTTCTTCTGCTATTGTGGGCATAATATGGAGGCAGGCTTGTGGGAATGAGTTAGTAGAGGTAATGGACGCAAACTGTTGGGCAGATATTGTGGGTCCCAAGTGAGCACTTGGACTTGTCCAATTTTACCCCATCCACTCTATCCATGGGGACACTCTGAGGCCAAGAGGGTTGGTTCCTCAGTGAACCATGGTAGAGCTGAACCAGCCTCAGGCTCTGGCTGCTGCTGGTTCAGATCTCCTGTGGCCATTAGCTGCTCTGCAGGCCCAGAATGGTCCTGCTTGGCCTGTGCCAAGGATGACAAGGGTGTGAAGAGCCCTGCAGCCTGGTGTGGGCGTGAAAGGTAGTTCCTGGTGAGGAGTGAGCCTCATTTCTGTTTGTTCCTCCTAGAATCGCCATGACATGCTCTTGGTGGAGCCACTGAACCGACTCCTGCAGGACAAGTGGGACCGATTTGTCAAGCGTATCTTCTACTTCAACTTCTTTGTCTACTGCTTGTACATGATCATCTTCACCGTGGCGGCCTACTACAGGCCTGTGGATGGCTTGGTGCGGCCTTTGAGGGGAGAGAAAGGGGTATTTCCATAAGACCCAGGCCCTGCCCTGGGCTCCTTCCCAGATCTCTGGAGAGATGGAGGGATCACCTGGAGCACCTTATGTCTCTATGCCCAGTCTTTTCTCTCTCAGGCTGTCCTGGTGACCTGCCCCCATTTCCTGTCCTCAGCCCCTCTCCCTAAGCCTTGTGGTCCTGGGGTGCTGAGCATGTGGTCACTGAGGCTCCGATTGCAAAGGGGAGGTACTTGACTAGAAGGGATGCAGGAATTAGGACTCAGGAGGCGGCTTGCCCCTGACCTGGGTGTCCGCAGGAACATAGGATGGTATAAGCCCCAAGCCCATTGTTATCCTGCTCCCCTTTTCTCTTTTGATCACTCACTTGTTTATTATTCATTCCTTGAACTCATACTTTTGAGCACTTCTGTGCGAGGCCCTGGGTTGTCAAATCAGCTTAAGACCAGACTTTTTCCTCTACCAGGAAGCATGGACTCCATCAAACTTCTGAGTTGAGTTCTTCTTGTTCCATAACTGGGGCACTTAATTTGCTGCCTTTATTTCCAGAGCACCTCACTTGTAAATGTGGTTTAAAAACTCAATTTCATTGGCAAAACCTGATATTTATCGACCTATTTTTGCCATTCAACAGCTTTGTTTTAAGAGAAAAGGGAAATGGGCTAATAAGATAAGCTAGCATGCGCGAGTGCTTATGAACATCAATGATAAAATAATCAAGAAAATGGTGAGACACAAGGATGACACTCACATGTGTGTGGGATGGTCTCTCCTTCCATCAACTGCAGGAGTCCCTGACACTTCAGCAAGACCAGGTGCTTGCAGGATTCATGTGGCATGGGGTCTGTGAGGGTGCCTCCACTCATCCCATCACCCTGCTCCCAGCCAAGTGGTGCTCCAGGCCCACTGGGACATTTCTGGGAAGCAGCAGAGCACTGTAAGCATGCTCCGCTTGGCACCTGATTAATTAAATAACTGCCAGTCATGATCCTATCACTTAAGAGGCTTCCACTCTACTACTGTAATTAGATATCACATTCAGTGGAGAGGTTGCTCTGAGAGCCCTGACCATCTGTCTGCAAGCTGGCTGGGCTGTGGGGATGCACTGGGCAGACCACCACCCCCAGCTGCCAGGTCACTGCCTGCAGAGGGACCTCCTTGCAGGTGTACCCATAATAATGCAGTGTCTTTTTTTTTTTTTTTTTTGAGAAAGCAGGATTTATTGAGAGTACAAAAAAGCTCCCACAGTGGGAGGGAACCCGAAGGGGTTGCCCCTATGCAGTGTCTTTATATGTTGTTCCCCTGATGGAGACTGTGCTTCCTGAGCTGGGTCTTAATCACAGGGTCTGGCACCTGGTAAATATGTGTTGAATGAATGAATGAGTATACGGAGTCACTAACTTCTCTGCATCTCGCAGCCTCCCTTTAAGGTTAAAAACACCGTTGAAGACTATTTCCGAGTCACTGGAGAGATTCTGTCTGTGTTAGGGGGAGTCTACTTTTTCTTCCGAGGGGTAAGCATTCCTTCTCACACTGTGAGTTTTCATTATCATCAAAACAAAGAGCCGAATCACTCATTCTGCACACCTTTTTTTACTCATCAGACACCTCATGGTCTGCTTGAGAGTGAGAGCTGCACAGGTGAGGATGAGAGCCCTCTAGGCATTGGCAGCTGGGGGTGGTGATCTGCCCAGTGCATCCCCATGGCCCAGCCAGCTTGCAGACAGATGGTCAGGGCTTTCAGCCTCTCCACTGAATGTGATATCTAATTACAGCAGTAGAGTGGAAACCTCTAAAGTGATAGGATCATGACTGGCAGTTATTTAATTAATCAGAACAATCTGTTAAAGCTCAGAACAATGAAGGAAATCTATATGTATACAGGAATCATTTTTAACTGAAAACTCAAACATACCCACTCTGTGGCCATTTCTCTAATGCAGTAACAGTTTTGTCTTTGAATGTGGGACCACTGTTTGGAATCCTACATTACCCTTTTTTGCAAAAACCATACCATGTGATTTCTAGTTTTGTCTTCTTTTATTTTATTTTTTTGAGTCAGAGCCTCACTCTGTCACCCAGGCTAGAGTGCAGTGGAACGATCATGTCTCATGGGCTCAGGTGATCTTTCTATCTCAGCTTCCTGAGTAGCTGGGACAACAGGCAGGTGCTACCATTCCTGGATAATTTTTTTTGGATTTTTTGTAAAGATGAGGTCTCACTATGTTGTCGAGGCTGGTCTCAAACGCTTGGGCTCAAGCAATCCTCCTGCCTTGGCCTCCCAAAGTGCTGGGATTATAAGTGTGAGCCACTGCACCAGGACCTAGTTTCAACTTCTTTAAAGAGGAGAGAGAACTTAGATGTGTACCAAGATATATGGAAGCAGAGATAATTGTGATTTTTAGAATCCACAATATTTTTGGTGTAAGCTACACTCCTTTATTATTATTTTTTTTAGTGACCCACCTTTATGGAGTCTTTCTAAATCATGAACTTTGTCTTCACAGAAACAACTTTCTTTTTGCACTCATAGTTTACATTCCAATAAAATACAGTCATAGTGGCAAGTGCAGCTGGCCTGCACTTGGCAAAGGCAGGATTGACCTGTGGGAGGGAGTTGAAACGTGTGCATGTTCTGGAAAGGACTCCTGGTTGCCAGTGGTTAATACGGTGAGTGAGTTCAGTGGAGGCTGGTTAAGGAAACTTTTACTCTAATACTTACTTAAAATTAAGGAAAAAAGCATACCAGGTACAATGGCTCATGCCTATAATCCCAATTACTGGGGAGAGGCTGAGGCCAGGAGTTTGAGACCTGGGCAACATAGTGAGATCCTGTTTCTTTTTGTTTTTGAGTTGAAGTCTCACTCCTTTGCCCAGGCTGTAGTGTAGTGGCTCACACGCTCACGGCCACCCCAGTGTTGACCTTCTGGACTCCAGTGATCCTTCTGCCTCAGCCTTCTGAGTAGCCAGAACTATAGATGCACAATACCACATCTGGCTTTTTAAAATTTTATTGTAGAGACGAGGTCTTGTCAAGTTGCCCAGGCTGATCTTGAACTTGCGGGCTCAGGCAATCCACTCTCCTTGGCCTCCCAAAGTGTTGGGATTACAGTGAGACCCTGTTTCTTAGAAAAAAAAAATAGAAGAAGGAAACATCAATTAGAAAGAAGAAAAAAGTCACCCAGTCTCAGTAAATAATAATATTTTGGTGATTTTTCCTTCCTGTTTTTACTTCTGGGTATAATTGTAAATCTACTTTGTATTTTTAACAATCTTCCTTAACCGAGTCCCTAACATCACCCCATAGGCCTCACCCTTCCTGTTCCACTCTTTCACCATTTCTGCTTTGACGTACTCCACTGTCATGATGTTGTTTAGGAAGCATTTGGGAAGCTCACCATTTAGCTACATCTCACATTTCCTGGGAGCTTACTCTGTCTATTTACCTGCAGATTCAGTATTTCCTGCAGAGGCGGCCATCAATGAAGACCTTGTTTGTGGACAGCTACAGTGAGATGCTTTTGTAAGTGAAATTTTTTTACTCTTAAAGCCAGTCTCTTTGGCCCAGTTCCAAGGTGACAGCAATCAGTTCCCACTCATTCTCTCACTTACACTGGGTCAGTCACATAGAAGAACCTTAGTGAACATGTTGAGGGGATTGATGGAAGGCACTCCATAAATATTTGTTGAGTGAATGAACACTGAGGGTCTACTCTGTGCCAGATGATGGGGACAAACTGTGCCATAGGCTAGTGTGACTTATAGTCTGAGTTAGACACACCCTGTTTATCTTTTCCATCCATTTGTCCATCTATCTGCCATTCATTGGAATACTGAGATGAAATAGACATCTGCTTTCAAGGAATTTTTTATCTTTAAGGTGGGGTTTCTCAGCTTTGGCACTACTGACATTTTGGACTGGATAATTCTTAGCTGTGGTGGAGGAGGTACTGCCGTGTGCATTGTAGAATATTTATCCGTGTCACTGGCCCCTACTAACTAGATGCCTGTAGCTCTTCCCTATCACCCAGATTAACAATAAAAAATGTCTCCAGATATTGCCAAAGGCCTCCCACTTGGGGACGGGGTGCCAGTATCACTCCTGGTCGAGGACTCCTGCTTTAGGAGGAGAGCAGATGAGCACAAACACAGTTATAAGACACAGTTAGAAAACCACATAGGTGTCTCAGGGAACCTCATTTCTTCAGAAAATACGTTGGAACCTCCAAGCCCAGCATGCATAGGGGGTTTTCAGACAGGGAGGGGCCCATCTCCTGGAATCTTGACTTACAACCTCTGTTCTGATCCCCATTCCAGGGACCTCTCTGTTCATTCTCAGTGAGTGCAAGGAGTTGATTTCTAGTCCTATGGCAGCTAGCTTGTCCCTGGGACTCACAAACCCCATCCTTTCCTTCTAATCTTGAGAAACCTGAACTGTAGCACCAAAGGTCAAAATCAAGGGGCAGGGTCTCTAGGGCTAGCACAACACTGATTTTGCCTAATTGAAACAATGTTTTCCTATGTAGTGTTTTGTTAATAAACTCAACATTCTATTCCTAGGAGGACCCACTATGGTTATGTTAAAAACATACATATGTGTATATGTATTACAATATATATAAAGGCATTACATTTTTATTTTATCAAAACTACTCACACACAGAGGTAAAAATGAAAATAATACATAAAAGCTTATAACCCAATACAAAAGCTGCTTGTCCCAACACTTCCTATCCCCTACTGTCTACTTTCCTAGAGGTACTTTCTATACTTTTGGCTCTGTCTTCTGATATTTACATATCTGATAGATGAGGAGGGGCCTGGGTAACTCAGTCGGCAGACTTTTAATATGAGGGTCCAGGGTTTAAGCCCCTGTCCGGATGCTTAGGTCTCTGGTACTCTGCTCCCAAAGTAGGAGGGGTTTTGACTAAGGTCTTATTTGTATACCTAACCCTGAATTTTACCCTGTATCTTCAAAATAAAAATTTTGAAAAAACAAACATACTTGGTAGATGAGGAATTAGCATCCTTTACTGACTTCCCTTCTGCTTCCCCTCCTTGATCCTTCCAGTGTGGTTATGGAATAATAATTATTTTAGTCAGTATTCAGTATTTATATTCTTATGCCACTGCTAATATTATTCACAGTTGAGCTTCACCATGTTCTATAATATTGCTTTTCTTGGAGCTAATAAGTACCTTGTTTTTCACTTGTTTACTTTGTGCCCATTGCTAACTTTTCCCACACCTCCCCTAACCTCTCAGTATTACTTCCGTTAAAATCAGTCACATAAGTTACATGATCAGATCCTTCCTCTCATTTTTTTTTCTTGTGGGATTTCTTCCTGGAGCCCTGGCTTGTCTTTCTAATTGGGCTGCTTGTTCTCCAGGGCTGATGCTTGGCTATTGTCCTGGGATTTCTCTTTGCTGCCAGCTTTGGAATTCTTATGGCTTTGCCCCAGACTACAGTTCCTGTCTCTTTCTTATATTTTTCTCTTTGTTGGCTTTTTCTCTTGTTTTTTTTGAGCACATCCTTCAGTATTTTCATCTAGTAAAAAAAGATGGTATAATTGTAGGGGCCACAGTGATGACAGCTTTCAACATGTCTGAATCTTTTTTTTTTTTTTTTTGAGTTGGAATCTCACTCCGTCACCCAGGCTGGAGTGCAGTGTCATGCTCCCAGCCACCACAGCCTCGACCTGCAGGGCTCAGACGATCCTTCCGCCTCAGCCTTCCAAGTAGCTGGAACTACAGGCATGCGCCACCATGCCTGGCTAATTATTTATTTATTGTAGAGATGAGGTCTTGCCAAGTTGCCCAGGCTGGTCTCAAACCGGAAGGCTCGGGCAGTCCTCTCACCTTGGCCTCCCAAAGTGCTGAGATTATAGGCATGAACCACCATGCCTGGCCAGTGTCTGAATCTTGAGTCACATTGTTCCTATCTGTACAGATATTATTCCTTCACTGTTACTTTAAAGATCCCTTTTGTATCTCAGAATCCTGACTTGGTGTTTTTATTTTCTGAACCTGATGTCCTCTTCTTTCCTGGTTTACTCCTTTGTTTTTTGGGAGGACATCTTGAACCAAAGAGTGAAAGTACATGGTGGGGAAGGGGAGCATAAAATTTCTTTTAAATCTTGTAAGTCTGAAAATATATTGCATCATCACATTTGATTGATAGTTTGGTTGGATATAAAGTTCTTTAAAAACTCAAAGATATTTCTCTATTTTTTTTTACTTTCAGTGTTATAGATGAAATTACTCTGATGCTGTATCCTCTTTTAATATCTGTTTTAGTTTTTCTTTTTGTGTCTTCTTTTCGTACATAATGTTCTGAAACTTAGTGATGTAGTTTCATGTAGGTTTTTAACCAATGTTCTAAGCACTTAGTGGGCTCTTTCAGTCTGGAAATTTATGTCCTTTCGTTTTGGAATATTTTCCTGAATTATCTCCTAGAACTCTTATGATTTGTGTATTGAACCTCCTGAACTAGTTCTAACCTAGTTTTCGTATATTTTTTCACTTGTGTTCTATTTCTTTGTATTTAGCTTTAGTTTCTGGGAGGTTCAAATCATCCTTAATTTCCAACCTTTCTATTGAGTTTATCATTTTTGATATCATGTTTTTAATTTATAAATGCTTTAAAATATTCTCTTAATTCCTTATTTATATCACTCTATTCTTGTTTCATGAATGCAGTATCTTCTTTTGTCTCTCTGAGACTATTAAGATAGTTTTTTGGAAGTTTTTCTTCTTTTTGTATAGTTTTTATTTTCTCCAAGTTGTTGTTTCCATTTGCTTATTTTTTTTCTCTCTTTCATGTTAGAAGTCTTCCTCAGAATATTTGAGAATCTTTGATATCTACTTATGGTTGAGAGTGGAAGACTAAGAAGCTTATTGGAAATTCTACATATATGGATGGGGCTTATCAATTTTGAGCTTCACTGTAGACTGACTAGATAGACCATTTATTGGAGTGTTCCTAAAGTCAGTCTATTTGGGCCTTTCTTCTTTGGGTTGTCAGATTTCATAGACAACTTTTTTTCAGTCTTCTACTTGGAGAAAATAAGTCTTGATGCCAGTTTTCTGAGACTTGAGTGGGGAAAAAAGGACTTTCTGTAATCTGGGATGTATACAATCACACAGTCTCCCTGTTTTTGGTAAAATACCAATGTTTTCAATGGCGCTGGATGAAACTGGGACCAAAGACCTTCTGTTTTATCTTCTTCAAAGACAAAACCTCCACTCTTCCTTGTCTTAGGTCCCTCGTCACATTCCCTCCAGAAGTCCCTGAGCCTTTTGAAGCTCCTTGATTCCAAGAGTTGATTCTTAGTTTTTCCCATTGTTGCCTTCAGGTTTGGCTTCCTTGGATCTGCCAAGTCACTTTCCACTTATTCATTGCTTTCCAGCTCCCAAAATTCACATGTGGGGGTCCCATTTGTCACCAGAGACAATCTTTGACCTATTACAAATAGTGTCAGTTCTCATTGTGGCCCAGGGTTCCACGAATGCTGAGGAATGTTTTTTTCTTTACAGAAGAACTAAAAAATAGACTTTAGCTGATGAGCCAGTTTATTGAAACCAGTTTTCAGCAGACTCACATCAGCACAGTGGTGACTTTTTGCTGGGTTCTCTCACACAAATGGGAGGCAAGATAATCAATGTGGTGAACAGTGTGCATGCAGTCATGGGTACTTTCTGGAGAAGGCTACTATGAACAAGGAGATCTGGGATGGATAAGTAAAGAAGGGACCATTGAGCAAACCCTGTCACAGGATCATCCTGAGTCCCTTTCCCACTGTCCAGGGTTTCTACTTGTGTATCATTCACTAGACTAAGGAGCTGACAGACATTTCTCTGGCTCTGCTCCTGAGTTTGAGAGTGTGACCTACAGATACTACCTGTGGTTTTTCAGGAGAGCATAGCCTATATCTCCTCATGGGCCTAGGGCTCCTAGGGTATCTGTTGTCCAGTGAGGCTCTTGTTCTTGGGGACTAGACAGGAAAGCTTTTGGGGTTAAAGCAGTATTCCTCAGTCTTTTTTCATTATTGCCTTTTTAAATTTGTTTTTTTTCTTAATTGCTCCCTCCTCATGAAATTTTAATGCAATAAATATACTGTTTTATCTTCTTTAGATACTAGATTTATATTTGTGCCTTATACATAAAAAAAATAAGATTCTGCACATTCCACAAGCCAATTTTTGCTCCTTAGGGGTGATATTGCTCCCACCGAGAATGCCTGGGCTGAAGGAAGTAGGACAGCCCGGCCCTAGCTTCTAGCATGACCTGTGGTCTGGGCCTCTGAGGAGAGGCCCAAGCAGCCTGAGACTGTCTGTTTGTGGGGGTACCAGACCTCCTGGGTGCCCATAGACAGAGCTTCCTATTCTTCTACCCTCAGCTTCGTGCAGTCACTGTTCATGCTGGCGACTGTGGTGCTGTACTTCAGCCACTGCAAGGAGTATGTGGCTTCCATGGTGTTCTCCCTGGCCATGGGCTGGACCAACATGCTCTACTACACCCGTGGCTTCCAGCAGATGGGCATCTATGCTGTCATGATAGAGAAGGTAGGTGTCCTGTGCCCAAGTGGGCTCTGCTTGAGAGCCTCACTTACCTCGTGTGTATGTGAGACATTGTCCCACAAACCCTGTCCATCCTCTCTGTATTGTCTGGGAAGGCCCTGGTTTAGCTTCCAGCCTATTCCCCAGGAATCATGCAATCTGGCAATCTGGCCTTGACCCAGGTGTGTATGTGGTGGGGAGGGTCCCCTGAAACTTGATCCCTCTGCATACCAGGCCTCTGTCTCCTAACCACAACAAAGGCCATGGGGGGAGGTGTGGATGACTTCCTCATGACTCCTGAGCTGACAGCCACCAGGCTCTCTGTATGTTCTCAAGAGGAAGCTCCAGGCTGATGCAGTCCCAGCCCTTCCCTTGGCTTCTTTGTGTACCTGGACTTGGCTCTGAGCAATCTACTTTCTCCTGCAGATGATTCTGAGAGACCTGTGTCGTTTCATGTTTGTCTACGTTGTCTTCTTGTTTGGATTTTCCACAGGTAATTGACTTGGTCGGGGTGGGAGGAGGGCAGGACTCCTGCTCACCTTGACTTCCTGAGGACTCTGCCAGGGGCTGGGTGAGGAGGTGCCAGGTGGTGTAGACAGGTGTGTGTCTGCAGGTGACAGGGTGGATGGACAAAGGACCCACTGAAATGAGCCTGACAACTTGGAAATATGACTCAAAACATTTTAGGTACTTTTTCAGGTAGAAAGTGTTGCGTGCTTGCAGTTTAGCTGCATTTCAGTTTAGTTTTTTTCTTTTTCAACTTTTTATTTCAATATTATTTCATACTTACAGGAAAGTTGCAAGAATAATACAGATGACTTCTCTATACTCTTTACCCAGATTCCTCAAATTTTACCACACTTAAAAAATCACCTTCTCTCCCCCCCGCATATGCACATGCACACACAGACATACATGTACCCCACACTTTAAAAAGACTTAGAGTAAGTTGCACACATGATTAGCCCTTTACTGCTAAATACTTCAGTGTATATTTCCTAAAAGAAAGAACATTCTCTTGCATAAACATAGTACAATGATCAAAATCTGGAAAGTGACACTGATATACCCTATTAGCTAATTTATAGCCCTTATTCAAATTTCACCAATTGTCCTAATAATGTCTTTTACAGAAAATGAAAATCCCGGATCATGCATTGCATTTCGTTGTCATGCCTCTTCAGTCTCCTTTAATCTAGGCAGTTTCTCAATCTTTCCTTGTCTTTTGTGACCTTAGAATTTTTAATGAGTAAAGGCCAGTTGTATTGCATGATGTTTCTCAATTTGGGTATGTCTGATATTTCCTCATGATTATATTTAGTTATGCATTTTTGACCAGAATATTAAGAAAATAATGTGTGTCTTCTAGAGTACATTTTACCAGAAGTCATATGTTGTCTGTTTCTCTTATTTTTGGTGATGTTAAGTTTGACTACTTGTTTTTTGGTGGATTGGCCAGATTTTTCCATTTTAGAGTTACTATATTTACCTTTGTGCTTGATAAGTAGTTTTTGAGATGCTTTGAGACTATATAAATATCCTGTGTCTCATCAGACTTTCACCCAATAGTTTTAGCCATTGATGAGTCTTACCTGGATCACTTAATCCTATGATGGAGGCCAAATCATGAGGTTCTAATTCCATCATTTCTTCTACATTTATCAGCTGATATTCTCTGATAAGGAAGAACTTTCTATTCCCCTACATCTATTTATTTATTTGTACTAGAATGGCATCATTGAGTTTTTTCATGGATTCTCATGTTGTTAAATGTGTTATAACCCTTACTATCATCATTATTATTTTGACACTCAGAGTGTCTGAGATTTAGTCATTGGGAGTCCCTTCAAGCTGGCTCCTATGCCCTTTTGACAGGTCCACATCATTTTTTTGAATACATGGCCCTGCTTTGATCCTAATCCAAGTCCTGTTGTTATATGGTTCACATGGTGCACCCTCCCCATCCTTCCCCTCTGCCCCCAGTTTGTTTTGGAATCTTTGGGAAGAATGAGCGTTGTGACAAGGAGGGACCTTATAGGTGTGGGTTCTGGCACCTGGATCTGAAGGCTATGCATATCGGTAGCCACAGGAAGGGGTTAGATCAAGGGGGTTAGTAGATACTGATATGTGGTAACCATGGTGTACAACTGCTGCAGAAGCTGTTGGCTTCTGGACTACACTTCCCAAAGAAGAGTGCAGAATGTGAGAAGAGACCATTCTGCTCAGAGCTGCTTGGTGCCCATGGTCCTAGAATGAGGAACCTGGTCTAAGGGACACAGGCAGACGGGATGTGGTTGACAAAGTAGGTGTGGTGGCAGGGCTGACATGTAAGGTTAAGAAGTTTGTGCACTGCACAAAGATGGCTGTATTCACATTGTACCTATAGATTTGTATCTTTATTTTAACTTTTTTTTCTAGCAGATGATGTAAAGTTCATATAATAACAAAACAGTGTATTATGGTAATTTTTTGATAGTTTGAAAAAAGGGAGCTTTTAAAAAATCTACACAAAGGTAGCACATGACTGGGAAGTGTTCCTGCTGCAGACCCATCCTGGGGTAGGAAGGTGTATGACAGGGGACCTGGGGTCTTGGCTTCTGTCCAGCTGTGTCCCTTCCTCCCCATGCCGTGCAGCGGTGGTGACACTGATTGAAGATGGGAAGAACAGCTCCTTGTCGACTGAGCCCACATCACACAGGTGGCGAGGGCCTGGCTGCAGGTCATCTGACAGCTCCTACAACAGCCTATATTCCACGTGTCTGGAGCTGTTCAAGTTCACCATTGGCATGGGCGACTTGGAGTTCACTGAGAACTATGACTTCAAGGCTGTCTTTGTCATCCTGCTACTGGCCTATGTGATTCTCACCTACATCCTCCTGCTCAACATGCTCATCGCCCTCATGGGCGAGACTGTCAACAAGATCGCGCAGGAGAGCAAGAACATCTGGAAGCTGCAGGTGGGTCGGTTGGGGGCGAGCTGCCAGGAGGGTGTCGACTGCTCTGTCTGCCACTTTACACAGCTGGGCACATGAGCCCCTGCAGGTTTTGAGGAGGGGGCAGAAAGCCCAGCCAGGCCCAGGGATCAAGTGGCAACATCTCCCTCCTGGACTCCCTTCCAGCAGATTCCCCTGCCAAGCGTCACCTGCTCAGTGTCAGATGAACTTGACTGGTGTTCATAGATCCTGTGACTGGTCCTGAGGCAAGGAGACAAAGGGCTTACCCCTTGGGGTGTCCACCTCAGAGGAGCCTGGTCTAGGGTGGGCACCAAAGACCAGACTCAGGAAGCAGCTAATACAGGGCAGAACTCTGGCAGGTACCTTTTGGAGCCATGTGGGTCCCATCTGCCTCCCTGATGATAATAAAAATATCATCCTTATTAAGTAGCACTTATTCTATGATAGGTACTATTCTAAGTGTCTTACTTAACTGATCTCATTTAATCCTTGCAACAATCCAATGAAGCAGATTCTATTACTCTCCCATTTTGGGATGAAGACGCTGAGGACTGAAGAAGTTAGATGTCTGCATTCAAGGTCATATAGCTAGTAAGTAGCAGAGCCAGGATCCAGCCAGGCAGTCTCACTCTACCCTATGGTGCCTCTTGTGAGCTCCTCAGGGAAGTGTCTGATACCTCCTGCATCACTTGTGGGACTGCTCTTCCCAGACCCAGCAGGTGCCTGCAGTGCCTGGGCAGGTCTGGGGCTGGATGAACTGTGCTCCTTCCACAGAGTGTGTCTATGGGAACAAGCCTAGTGAAGAAGGCACAGGAGAACCAGCTCAGAGGCATCTGGGACTGGGTGAGGCCCCGGAGAGGCAGATCCTGGCAGCCAGCACTGGCAGTCAAGGAGGCCCCTGGATATACCCTCTGTCCTTTTGCCCTCTGTGTCTTCCACAGAGAGCCATCACCATCCTGGACACAGAGAAGAGCTTCCTTAAGTGTATGAGGAAGGCCTTCCGCTCAGGCAAGCTGCTGCAGGTGGGCTACACACCTGATGGCAAGGACGACTACAGGTGGTGTTTCAGGTAATGCCCAAGCAGAAGTCAAAGCTTGGGGAGCTCCGGGCTCAGCTATGGACACAGGGGACCCACCTAGAGAGCTGCAGGTACAGACGCCTGCCTCAGGGCCTCCTGGGGCCCACCATGAGCACAGGGGACACTCTGGAGGTCAGCTGTAGGCACAAGGGTCATCGCAGGACTTGGTTGTGGGATTAAATACTGGATAATTTGAGGTGTCCAGAAGGGGTAACTTAGTGAGCAGGGTCAGAGCCAGCAATCTGGTATTCAAAGTCCCTGGGCCTCATGATGTGGCCAGAGAACACATGTTCAGGAGTGCTGTCTAAAAAGCAAGGCTCTCACTGCCCTCCCCCACCAGTCATGTCTCCATTCTGACCTATGGGCTTCTTGGGCTTGGCTGTGGGGCAGATCCCTTGGCTTGGGAAGTGGGGCATGGCCCTCAGGCTCTCCATCCCCTCACCTGCAGGGTGGATGAGGTAAACTGGACCACCTGGAACACTAACGTGGGCATCATCAATGAAGACCCGGGCAACTGTGAGGGCGTCAAGCGCACCCTGAGTTTCTCCCTGCGGTCAGGCAGAGGTGAGGCATGAGGGGTGGGTTCTGTGGCACTGAGGGGCCTCTTTGGCTGATGGCCTGACGCTGGGCAGGGGGTTCCTCGCAGGTCCTCCACTCCTTGCAGGCCTTTCTTAACCCCAGGACCCAGGCACTGTAACAACCCCGATGTCAGCCATACACACACAGTCACAGGCACTCTTGTGTGCCTCATGCATACTGGCCTTCCCTGGCCTAGGCACCTGTCCTCAGTGCCTCAGAGGAAGCAGCTCAGCTCACGTCTAGCCGGGGTGACCAGTTCGTGGAAGCTGCGCTCCTGCTCTGCCCTGTTCCTCATACCCCATGTGTGCACATCACATCACAGCTCTGTGGGACTGTGTGGACACAGCCGGGCACATGTGAACATTCATCTCACGTAGACACGTCTGGGCAGGCAGAAAAATGGGCAGGGTGAGGAGAGTAAATGGGACACCTTGAGCAGAAAAACCCTGCGGAAAATGACTACCAGAAAGAAAGTCATTTAATCGTTAATGGGAAACATTTTAACAGAAAGCATTATAGGTTTAATTGAGAACATTTACTTAAAAATGAAACAGACATAGTTTATATTGAACACATTTTGAATTATAATTACAGCCTTGTAGTCATTGTTTTTTGATTTTCAAAAAATTGTGGTAAAATATGTATCACATAAAATTTGCCATTTTAAGGGTACAATTTAATAGCATTAAGTATATTTACAGTGTTGTGCAACTGTCACCATTATTTCCAGAACTTTTTTATTATCCCAAACTGAAATCCTGTACCTATTAAACAATAACTCTCCATTCTGTGTTCCCTCAACCCCTGATAACTTACATTCTACTTTCTGTTTCTGTGAAATTTGCCTATTTGGTATCTCATATCAGAAGATTCATACAAGATTTGTCCTCTTGTGTCTCACTGAATAATATTCCACTGTATGGCTCTACCATATTTTGTTTATCCATTCATCTGTTGATTGACATTTGGGTTATTTCCACCTTTTCAGCAATTGTGAATAATGCTATGATCCTTGGTGTACAAAATGTCACTTGATTCTTTGCATTCAATGATTTTGGGTCTATATCTAAGAACAGAATTGCTGGATCATATGGAAATTCTATGTTTAACTTTCTGAGAAACTGCCAAACTATTTTCCAAAGCAACTGCATCATCTTACCTTCCCATCAGCAATGCACAAGGGTTCTAATTTCTCCACATTCTCACCAACACATGTTATTTCCTTTTTTTGTTATAGCCATGCTAGTGGGCATGAAGTGGTACCTCACTGTGGTTTTGATTACATTTTTCTAATGGCCAATGATATTGAGCATCTTATCATGTGTGTGTTTGTTATTTGTAGATATTCTTTGGAGAAATGCTTATTTAAGCCCTTTGGTCATTTAAAAATTTGGCTATTTGTTTTTTGTAGCTGAGTTGTAGTTCTCTGTATATCCTGGATATTAATCTCTTTATCAGATACATGATTTGCAAATATTTTCTTTCATTCTGTGGGTTATCTTTTCAATTTCTTGATAAAGTTATTTGATGCACAAAAGTTTTAAATTTTAGTAAAATTCTATTTATCTATTTTTTTCTTTTGTTGCCTGTTATTTTGGTGTCAAATTAAAAAAAATGACTGTCAAATTCAATGTCATGAAGATTTTCCTGTTTTATTTTTTTCTAGGAGTTTTATAGTTTTAGCTCTCTACCATTTTAAAGTATTTTTCTTCTTGATTTGGAATTTGCTTGGTTTCTATGTCTTGGACTGTTTCCCAGAGTTCTGACAGCGCTGAGTGTGAAGTTTATGCTTTTATTTGATGTTTTTGTGGAAAATTGGGTGTTTGGAACTTCCTACTTTTTTGCTAATGTCATTCTTGAGCTAATTCTTAAAATGAGGAATGACTGAATCAAATGTTGATAGTTTTTTTTGTAAGGTGGGGGAAGGGACATAGTTTTTGAGGCCAACTTGCCAAAGATCATGATACTGCATCTTTCATATTTGGTACTGCCTCATAGAGAAGCCCATTGTGTATGTGTGTATATATAAAACTTTTGAGTTGGGAGTCTCACTCTGTTACCCAGACTGGGGTGCAGTAGCATGATCACAGCTCACCACAGCCTCGACCTCCTGGGGCTCAGGCAATCCTTCTGCCTGAGCCTCCTGAGTAGCTGGGACTATAGATATGTACTACCACACCTGTCTAATGTTTTTGCTTTGTAGAGACAAGGTCTTGTTATGTTGCCTAGGCAGGGCTTGAACTCCTGGACTCAAGCAATCCTCCTACCTCAGCCTCTCAAAGTACTGGGATTATAGGCATGAGCCACCATGCCTGGCCTATCTAAAAAATCAAATTTACTGAGATAAAATTTACATATGAATGCACACATTTTAAGTTTTACAAACATGCACACTCAGGCAACCACCATCCCACTCAAGATACAGAATATTTCCATCATGCCAGAATGTAGCCTATGCCCCTTTGTAGACAATTTCAGCCTCCCCATTCCCGTTAACAATTTGTCTAATTTTTATCACTACAGATTTGTTTTATATTACCTCTTTGTTTTAACCTGAAAATGTCAATTTCATCCTCATGTTTGTTTCACTGAATATAGAATTCTGAGTTAGCAGGGTTTTTTGTTTTTGCTTTTTTAAATGTCAGCACTTTATCTTTCTCCACTGTCTCCTGGACTCCATTGTTTCTGATGAGAAGTCATCATTATTTGCGTTGTTGTTGTCCTGTATGTGATATGTCTTTTTTTCTTTGTCTACTTTCAAAATATTCTTTCCTTGGTTTTCAGCAAGGAAACCTTGTCTAAAGTGTGTTTAGGTACAATTTTCTTTGTTTTTATCCTGCTGAAGTTTTGCTGAGATTCTTGGAACTGTGCATCAATATATTTAATTAAATTTGGAAAACTATACAACTATACACTGCTTCAGATTCTTCCTATCTTCTCCTTTTGGGACTCCAGTTATACATATATTAGACCATATGATACTGTCCCATAGGTTTCTGAGGCTTTGTTCATCTTTCCTCAGTTTTTTTCTCTTTGTCAAAGTTGATAATTTCTTTTGATTTGTCTTCAAGTTCACTGACCCTTTCCTCAGCCACCAAATTGCTATTAAGCACATTTAGTAAATTGTACACTTCAGGTATTGTGCTTTTTGGTTTAGAATTTCTATTTGGTTCTTTTTTACATTTTCCATTTGTCTGCTGAAATTCCCTAGTCATTCCCTCATTAAACCATATTTTCCTTTAGTTCCTTGAACATATTTGTAATACCTACTTTAAGTTCTCTGTTCATTAAATTCAATATCTGGGCCATTTTGTGTTAAATTTTTATTGACTGTTCTTTTTCCTGCCTTTGGGTCACATTTTTCTGTTTTTTTGCATGTTTAGTATTTTTAAGTTGTGTACTGGGCATTGTAGATAATATACTATTGAGACTGTAGATTCTGTTACCTTCCTCTAAAGAATATTGACATATTGACTTTTTGTCCAGTTGGCAGTTCAGTTACTGATGAATTATCTTGAATTTGAGTAGGCTATAGTTTTAAATTTTGTTATGGCAGATATGTGAACACCCCAAAGTATTTTCTAAGACCACCAAACTTGTGGGACTTAACCTCTAAATTCTGTCTCCACTGAGAATCTTGTCAGGGCTTGGTCTTAGGTTTTGTTAGGGGAGTTCTTAAGTAGGTCTTACCCTAAGGCATGGTCCTTATGCTAGGGCATGATTCTTACTCCTACGTGGGATCATTCTTAACTAGACCTTCAGAGTATTTAAAGGGTATTTATGAGGTCTCCCCACTCTGGCTGGACTGGCCCTCAGATATCCTCCAGTACTGCTCAACCCTTAATGTTTCTCTCCCACTTTCAACCCTATAGCAGCTACTCTAATAATCCTCAGTCAGTCTCACCATGAACAAGCACAGCTCAGCTCTTAGCCAAAGACTGATGGGAACCCACCCACTCCAAGGTGTTCTGGGCTTCCACTCCTATGACTCCTTTTCCTCTTCTCCTGTGCCCTACCCCAAAGATTCTAGTTGCGTTGGCTGCTCCAAGTTGTGATTTCTTCCTCCTCAGCTTAAAGGCAATTTCATGCTCTGCTTGGACTGCAGCTCACTGCATTGTACATGAGGAAATGGTCCCTAAGCAGAAAGGGTGATCATAGTACTCACTTTGTAAATTTCACTTCTCACAGGGATTGCAGTTTTTCACTGTCTGTTGTTCTATGCCTAAAACCATTTGCTGTGTGTATTTTACTAGTTTTTTTCCTATCAAACAGCAGAACATGCTAAAGATAGCTTTTATTCATGTAACCAAAAAATACTTATTAATAATCTGCTATGGACCTGGGTCTGTTCTAGGATGTGAAGTTACAGCAGTGAACAAAATAGACAAAGTCTTTATTTTGGGAGAAGCAAAGTCATTTTAGTCAAGATAGAAGATAGTACTTGATTAGACCTAATGGTGATATCATATTTTGCTAGTTTTATGGTTGTTGACAGCAGAATGACTAGCCCAGTACTAGATACTCCATTATAGCTGGAAGTAAAAATCTATATTATCAAAGGCTCATTTTGGGAAAACTGCTCAAGGCCTTCATCTGTTTTTCCACAGGCTCCCTGCAATCCTGGGATTTTCCTACTCATCGAAATAGAAGCACTCCGTGTGCCACTTAATAATACTTACTGATTATCTCTTCTTCAATTGTTAACTGGTCTAGCTTTGCCAGAGAGCTGTTTGCAGATAGCCTTGCATGTGACAAGCAGTTTGTCACAGCCACTTTTATTGCTTTCATAAAATCCCACATTTAAAAAAATAAGATTTGCAGTTTCACTTTGCAGTTGGTTTGTAGTATGTTTGCATGACGTCTCTGGCAGTTGGCACTGATTCACTTGATATTAAGAAACACACTGACCCCAGTAACAAGGATACACACATCTGCAGGGGGCCAGCCCCTGCAAAGAGATTTAGAGGGTCACTGGGAGGTGTGGTGGCGTCGGTGATTATTCTGGAGAAATAAAGAGAAAGACAGAGAGAGATGGGGGGAGAAAGAAAGAAACTGGACTCTGTCTAGTGCAGAAGCTGTTTAATGGGATGAACTGTAAGTCTTTTATCCTAAAGTTTCACAGATTAAATCACAAGACTTTCATGTGAACACAAAGCCAGGTGGGTGAGGGACGTCCCCCACCCACCAGGTGTTTCCTCAGGCATGAGGAAGAACAATCCCAATTAAATCACAAAACTTTTACATAAACATAGAGCTAGGTGAATGAGGGACATCCCCCACCCACCAGGTGTTTCCTCAAAAGCAATACAACAATTCTAATATCATAATATTCTAATAATCAATAACTTTAAAAACTTATGTATACACAACACCTAATGACCAACTTAAATCCCAATTCCTTTCTATTTTACGCTAATTCTACCTACACTGTAGAAACTCTTAATTATAGCCCAAACCAGTTCCTAAGGAATGTGGCCCAGCCCAAAGTTTGTGCTGGGCCATTTCTAGTAACTCTAGATAATTAACTATATTATTAAGATTGAAACAGCACTTTATATGTATATACTAATTCTACAAATATACTTTTAAATCTTATAAAGAAGCTTGTACCGTATTAAAGGCTCCCAAATGTGATCTGAGTTTGAATTATGTTAAGTTTAAAGCCAAAACCACAGTCTGTGAGAAACGGGAACAATGAACTCCTACAGTAAACCATGCCTGTTGTACTCTCAGAGGTTCATACTTAGATCATCAAAGTCCCTGCTAGTGGGATGTGCCAAACAGCAAAGAAGGGAAGAAGGAATGGGCCATCAGTTCCTGAGCTCATCCTAGTGGTCTCAGAGTCTGCAGCCCGCCTGGATCCCTAACTCTCAGGCAGGCCTCCTCAGCTGGCTCCCAACACACATCCATGTTAATTGGGGCAGGGATGGGGCATGGTTGAAGGTTGCTTGATTTTATGCTTATAATTAATTATTGCTGACCATTTTGCTTTCCTATTCCAGAAAGAAGAAAACAGTAGAAACTCCAGTAATGAGTATACAGATAACTCAGATAGCAAGAACCTTTCCCCACTAAACACAGACCATGTGATTAGAAGGGTGTGAGGAAATGCATGAGAGAAAGGCCAGGGAAGACAAGTGGTCAGTAGAGGAGCTAGTGGGAATGTGTGAAGGGGTCTGGGCATTAGAACTGTGGGAAGCGGGCACTGGACATCCTGTTCCTACTCTGAAGGCCCTTAAACTGGGGCTAGGTCAAACTTTGGGCTGGGCGCCTCGCCACCCAGCCAGTCAGTAGATAGTATCCCAATGGGCAGCGGACTGTCTTCTGTGAAATCCTCCTGCTTCTGTGCCTGGAGTTCCCTGAGGGTATTAGCCTACAGGCCTGGGGGAAACACAAGAACCTGGATAATTCAACTGGAGTAGTCATGATAGGAATGCCTCTGGCATTCTTGATGCCTTTGAGGTATGACCAGTGTTAGACACCACAGAGGGACCTGGATAGTGGCCTGAGATTGGGAGGTATGAGTTGGGGCTGGTTTTCCAGAGAGATCAGGCCCAAGGTGACGAGCCTGAGAGCTTGGCTGGCCAGGGCTCTGGCAAATGGAAGGAGAGCATACACAGCTTTCTCTGTTGGCTGTTATTTCTCTCTCTCTCTTTTTAAGCTTTTTTTTTTTTAAGTCAGGATCTCGCTTTGTCAACCAGACTGGAGTGCAGTGGCACGATCATGGCTCACTATAGCCTCAAATTCCTGGCCTGAAGGGATCTACCCTCCTCAGCCTCCCAAATAGCTGGGACTATAGGTGCCATCATGCCTGGCTAATTTTTTGATTTTATGTAGAGACAAGGTCTCACTATGTTGCCCAGGCTGGTCTGAACTCCTGGGCTCAAACAATCCTCCTGACTTGGCCTCTCAAAGTGCTGAAATTACAGCATAAGCCACTGTACCCAGCTTGTCTTTTTTTCTTAGGTGGCCACAGGGCTGGAGGTAGCTGTGGAGATCATCCACAACTGTGTCATCCTTGGGAGCTTCCTGGGATTTCAGGCCACATTTGAGATCTCCATTTGAGGCCCAGTGTCACCATTTTTCCTTGGCACTGTTCTCAACCTGCTGTGCCTTGGTGGGGTCTGGATTCTAAATCCCTATTTTTTGGCTGGTGTTCATCACCCTAGAACTGACTTGGTGTTGAGCTATTCCCCAGTGTTGCTCTGTGGAGACTTCTTCTCCCTCCCACTTGGGCAGGTAGGAGATGAAGGCTGAGAGAGGCAAGCAAAGGACTCTCCTGAGGTCACAAGCAAGTTGAGGTTGGGTGAATGAAGAGAATGTAGGGAGCTACCAGAGTGCATGAGGCTCCTTGAGCAGTCAGGGAAGAGGAAATTGCACAGATGCAGGTGGCTCAGGGAGCATTCAAAGCCTGGGTCTCCTTTTATCTGGAGATTGGAGAGGCCAAAAAATAAATGTTTGTTTGTGTGTTTTGCTGCATCCAAGGTAGTAATGATGCTTTACCCTTCAGTTTCAGGGAGAAACTGGAAGAACTTTGCCTTGGTTCCCCTTTTAAGAGATGCAAGTACTCGAGATAGGCACTCTGCTCAGCCTGAGGAAGTTCACCTGCGACACTTTGCAGGGTCCCTTAAGCCAGAAGATGCTGAGGTCTTCAATAATCCTGCTGTTTCTGGGGAGGAGTGAGAGACCTCACACAGGACATTCTTAACGCTGGGGCTTAGGGAACCCCACTGCCACTGAGGGGCTGTTTAGAGAATACCTGTTCCCTGTCAGCAGACAGACCTGGCTTGTGCCTGCCTAGCACTTTCCTAAGACTGCACTGGACAAGCTGTGGGAAGCATTATTGGATGTGTGGAAAGATATAAGCGTCTAGCCATCACTATCCCCAGGTGAATCTTCTAACAAGAAATGATCCTGCTTTCAAGTTTTTACCCACTTTGTCATATAGTGCGAATGGTCACTCTCTACTGGGACACATGTTAGGCCTTTGTTTTCTTTGTTTTTACATTACTGGGAACAAAAGTAAATGAAACCCAGGAAGACACCTTTGAGAACAAAAAAGTTCCTTTGACCTAAAATGCTGAAGCCTTCTTCTCTGTATTGATGCTTACTGCCTGCCTGGAGTGGTCTGGGGAGTGATATCGTTTACTCCACAGAGAATATAGGGGAGGCTGGGCCCATTCCCAGCTCTGGCAGAATCAGGTTGTTGTAGAAACATATCCTTCATCCTTGTGTATGATATATCATGGTCTCAAAAATACTAGCGTGATTGTTGTTCAAATAAAAAATCGGAACCGTGTCCCAAAGTCACATGGTGAGAATTTTTCAATGATCTTCCTCTTGCAGAGACCTCAGTCCTGCTCTCCTGCAGTGGTATATGCTTTCACCCCCATCTGTCCTGTCACCCATCAAATAAATATATGTGTGTATATATATACACACACACATTGATATCACATCAAGTGTGAAGTTTGTACTGAACACTGGGCTGGTATAGCTAATTGGCTCTGTGTAGTCTGTGCATGTGTGTGTCTGTGTGTGTGTGTGTGTGTATGTGTGTGTGTGTACGTGTGTGTGCTCTTCACGTCCACAATTACCACGTCAGCAAGATGTGATCCGTGGGCGCAATCTGGCCTACTTCCTGTTTTTGTAAATAAAATTTTACTGAAAAACAGTTGCACCTGCTTGTTTGTTTTGACCCTTCCTTTATGGAATAGAACAAAAACCAAATAATCCAGAAAAGAGATCCATCCCAGACGTGTGCTTATCTGTGGAGTATGGACTGAACTGCCTAGTCATGGAATTGCTGCCCATTGGTTCAAGAAAGGATGGATGTCTTTAGCTGAGGCTGGGCTTGGGCTCTGCTGAGAGAGGGGTTTCTGGAGGAAGTACTTGGACCCCCTTACCTGTCCCCCAGCATCATGGCTGTCTCCATGTAGGAGGCCCCACAGAGGAGCCAAGGGCTGGTCTGCCAGGTTCCTGCAAGTGAAGTGAATTACAGATACAGCAAGTGAATGTCGATCAGAGGAGGAATGCTGACAGCCAGGATGAGTGGAGCGTTTAGGAAAGTGCTTGACGAACACTGCCAGTTAAACTTCCTGACAGCTGGTGCAGAAGCTATTATTAGTTTCATTTTATAGATGAGAAAATCAAGGCCCCGATGGTTGGGAAGGTCACGCAGCCAGTAAACAGCATTGCCTGTCTTAACTTCCGTGTCAAGCTTCCTGCGAGAGGACGGGCTGGGGCATGCCAGTCTATCCCTGGGCCAGGAGTGGGCCGTGAGAACTTCTCAACTTCTGTTAGAGGTCCCAGCAAGGCCTGGGACTCCTTGCTTTACCTTTCTTAGAAAGTGTGTGGATGTCTGCAAACTTCTGCAAATTGAATCAGCTTTTGAATTTACTCAGAATTAGAAGGAATCCTGGAATCCTGTGGGTTTCTTTGCAAAGATAAAGAAGGAAATATCTGCAATTGGTCTGTTCTTTTCCTTTCCTTCCTTCTTTCTTTCTTTTTGATTAATAAGCTTTATTTTTAGAGCAGCTTTAGGTACACAACAAATTTGAACCAAAGGTACAGAGAATTGCCAGCTTGCCAGGTGAGGTGGCTCAAGCCTGTAATCCCAGCACTTTGGGATGCCAAGGTTGAGGGGATTGCCTGAGCCCTAGGGTTCGAGACCAACCTGGGCAACTTGGAAAGACCTCATCTCTACAATAAATCAAAAAATTAGCTGGACATGGCAGTGCATGCTTGTGGTTCCAGCTACCTGGAAGGCTGTGGCAGAAGGATCTCTTGAGCCCAGCAGGTCAGGGCTGCGGTGGCTGGGAGCGTGCCACTGCCCTCCAACCTGGGTCACAGAGTGAGACTCCAACTAAAAAAAAAAAAAAATCGAGAATTGCCACATATCCGCCATACCCGCATACCCACTCACCCTCAACCACCCCCCACTATTGACTTCACCAAAATGGTACATTTTTTACAATCCATGAACCAACACTGATACATCTTTAAAAATCCTCTGTGCTCTACCTAGTCATCTATCCCTTCCTCCAACCCTTGGCAACAACCACTAATCTTTTTTTGTGTGTGGGGGTCTCACTCTGTTCCCCAGGCTGAAGTGCAGTGGCATCATCATGGTTTGCCACAGCCTCGATCTCCTGGGCTCAATAATCCTTTCACCTCAGCTTCCTGAGTGACTGGGACCACATGTGTGTGTTACCACACACCTGGCTAACTTTTTTGATTTTTTTTCTTTATAGAGACAAAGTCATGCTATGTTGCCCAAGCTGGTTGCAAACTCCTGGGCTCAAGCAATCTTCCTGCTTCAGCTTCCCAAAGTGCTGGGATTACAGGTGTGAGCCACCATGCCCGGCTGCAACCACTGTCTCCATACTTTAGCCTTTTCCAGCACAGCACATCATGCAGTGGAATCATCATACAACACAGAGCCTTTCAGTCTGATTTCTTTCACTTAGTGATATGCATTACAGTTTCTTCCATGTCTTCATGGCATGAGAACTCATTTCTTTTTATCGCAGAATAGTATTTCATTCTCTGGATGTACCAGTCTTTATCCATTACTTACTGAAGGACATCTTGGTTGCTCCCAAGTTTTGGCAATTATAAGTAAAGCTACTTATACACATCCATGTGCAAGTTTTTGTGTGGACATGTTTTCAGCTCCTTTGGGACTGCAATCACTGGATTGAATGGTAAGAGTATATTCAGTTTTGTAAGAGACCATTAACCTGTCTTGCTGTACGTAATGGCTGTACCATTTTGCATTTTCACCAGCAATAAATGAGAGGTCCTATTGTTCCACATCCATACCAGAATATGATGTTGTCAGCATTTTGAATTTTGGCCGTTCTGATAGGTGTGTAACGATCTTTTTCTTTTTTCTGTTGTGTGTTCTCTCTCTCTCCTCTGGGTTTCATTTAAACTCTTAATAGCATTGACCAATATGTTGTATGCATTTATATTTTAGTATGTTGTGTTTTTGTTTTGGTCTGTCCTCCCTTTTCTTTACTAATGCTCTCATAAAACAAAATGGTAAAAATGGGAAGGAAACAAAATGAAATCTTCATTGTACATGATGCTATTGTTGATTTAAATGTTTAAGTTTCTTAAATAGTTAAATAACTATTGTTAATTTATATATTTATGCTTCTTAAATAGTTTATTTTAAAGGACAGGTAAAATTATATCTATTTACAGTATACAACATGATGTTTTGATATATGTGTATACATAAATACACTGTAGAATGGCTAAGTCAAGCTACTTAACATATACTTTATATCACATACTTACGACTTCTTTTGTGATGCTAGAACTCAAAGTTTACTCTTAGTACTCTTCAAGTCTGTTGCTATCTCTTTATCTCTGTCTTCATGTCCTTCCCTCCATCCCCTAGAAGCAGGATGAGCCACAACCCAGAATCCGCAGCGGGGTAGCTGCTCTGCTCTCTTTGCCTAGGAATGGCAGGGGCCTGCCAGGACCTTCTTCTGGCCTTTGTCAGGGCTGATAGATCTCTGCCTGGCTCCCTAGCTCCTTCCTCACTGCACCAAGTAGGGCATTTCCTAGAGTGTGTGAGGGGGCTGACCCCATCTTGCTTTCACTTACCTCACAGAGACCCCTTCTCTCCCTCCTCCCCTTGTGGGAGTGGAACTTGTAGCCTTGGTGTCTGCAGGGCTTGGGAGTTTCAGGGAGGCAGGGAGGGTCTGCTCGATGCCTACTTGGTGCATCCTCTGTGGGTGCTTTTACAGCAGGCAGAAGGTGGCCTCTACGTCCTGCATCGGCACATAGACATGGTCGGTTGAGGCTTCCACTCTGCCCTCTGTCTAGTGGAATGGCAGCACATATGGGATATCCAGGGGCTGCCTGAAATTCAGGTCTCTAGGGAGTGGGGTTGGGGCAGGAATAGCCAGGGGCTCCCCTTTCACTCACCCTGCCTGATTCCTACACCAGGCCCCAGCCCCGTCTCCTCTGGTGGTTTTCCTCCACACATACAGCCAACTTGAAAAGTCCCTTCTTGAGACTGTCACCTCTTCAGGTTCTGTGTGTCCCATCTGCTGCCAGAGAAGAATCTGAGGCCACAATGAAAGGTGGACCCAGCATGGCATATGGCTACTACCAGGAGTGAGAAGCCAGGATTTGGGAGGAGCTCCTTTTTGCTTCCAGGTTCCCAGGCATTGGAGTGGCTGGGGATGTCTTGAGCTGGCCAAGACTAGGTCAGCCGTACTATATGGATACCTGCAGAGTTCCACATTCCTGTGACTGTGTTATGTGGACCCCAAGCACAGGGCAGGATCCCCAGGGGATCTGAACCCTGGCAAACATCAACAGGGTTCAGACAGGCAGAGGCACTGCCTTTGGTTTGTGGTGCTGGCTCAGCCGATGGGTCAGTTCCCTGATGTCATATTGGTGAGTGTCCCCACCAGGCCACAGGCCATGTACTTTGTGAGGCTAGGCCAACACAGCCCCAAGGAGTCAGGCTGACTCAGTGGCTGGGGCCACTCAGTGGGCTACAGCCTGGCCTACGGTCCATCTCTGCTCACCCCACTAGTTCATGGGTTGCCTAAGCCTCTCACTACTCCTTGAGCCCACCAGGGTCTCTGCTTCTGTAGCTCTTTTCTTATAAACTTTCCCTCCTTCTAAGTCCAGCTCCAATGCTTTCTCTTTCCTGACCCCTCCACCCCAGCCCCTATTAGAGGGACTTCTTCCTTCTTTGGCGGTCTGAGCCCGTTTTGTCCCTATCCCCGGCCTGGTGGGGTTATGGTTACTGCCTGAGCCTGTCTCCCCAGGCTTGAACTGTGGTCCTCAAGTTCCTTGAGGCTGGAGATGGCCTTTTCCAGTTCTGAATCCCTCCCTGTCCCCTTGGTTCCCCCAAGGTATCCCACCATGGAACTTCACGATGTGTTGGGTTAAATGGGATGGACTGTCGACCAGCCCAAGGGCCTAGGGCTGCTGCTTCCATGTATTTGGGTGGGATTGGGATGGGATCAGGTTTCCACAAAGTAGTGACTTTTACTGTTGGGTAACCTGGCTCCTGCTGCCTCTTACAGCAGAAGGGGGGCTCCCCTTATTCCTTGCTGGGCCTTTTATTTTTATTTATTTACTTATTTATTTATTTTTGAGTTGGAGTCTCACTCTGTCGCCCAGACTGGAGTGCAGTGGCCCCTCCCGGCCACCGCAGCCTCGACATGCTGGGCTCTGGCGATTCTTCCGCCTCAGCCTTCTAAGTAGTCGGAATTACAGGCGTGCGCTACCACGCCTGGCTAATTTTTTGTAAAATATTTATTGTAGAGATGATGTCTTGCCTGCCCAGATGGGTCTCGAACCTGCGGGCTC